CCCCCTGTGCCAGGCTCTGTGTGAAGTTCTTTTCATGAATTATTTCATTCAGTCTTCTCAACAGCATTACCGAGTAGGCATTAATAGCTGCATTTTACGACATAGGGTGACTGAGACTCTGAGAGACTAACTTGCCTAAGGTTCCTCAGTGAAAAAGGAGTGTTACTTCCTATGCGTTGCAATCTAGGTCTGCTCGGTTCCACTTTCTTCACCATCTCCTAGTGAGGAAGAGTATGTAAATGGAGCCATAGTCTATCGATGAATCACAAGCTAGAGTATTCTTTTCCATAGAGTGTGATAGGTATAGGAGTGTTAGTTATTCGGTTAAAATCTTTTAATTACGGTGTAAATACCTAAAACATGATTTTGCCTGACACCGATTTTTGAGTGCTATACAAACATCTTAATTTAATAACCAAGCAACCCTTGGTACAAGTTCAGTGGCTCAATCTGCTATAGTCTTCTAAAGCCCAGTCAGTAAACAGCAGCTCGTGAACCCAATCCTACCCACTCCCTGGTTTTGTGAGGCCCACAAGCTAAGAATGTTTTTATATTTTTTAATGGTTGAGAAAAATTAAGAGTATTTTGTGACACATCATAAGTACATACAATTCAAATGTCAAGGCCCATAAATAAAAGCTTTTTAGAACACAGCCAGGCTCATTTGTTTACATTTTCTATGGGTGCTTGCGTGCTACAGCTGCAGAGTTGAGAAGCTGTGGCAGAAACCGGACAGTCTGCAAAGTCTCTGATATGTACTATCTGGGCTTTTAGAGAAAATAGCTTGCTGACCCCTGTTTCTATGCCACTTAAACATTCAAGTGTGATTTGGGTTTATGCATTTTTTCTACAAAACTCTGAAGAAATTTTAAACTCTTTTTTTTTTCCCAGAAAGAACACTATAGTAGTCTTGCTCTTTAAAAATGTTGACAGCCTGGGCCAATTTGAAAATGACACCGTTAGGTTACGTTCCAGTGCCTAGTCAGTCCAGCTTGAAAGTCGGCCTCCCTCCCTCATCTAAATACATTAGAGTTACCTCTAGATGGGAAAGCTGGGCCTTACTACCAACCTGTCCTTCCGTTATTCATCTTGACTGTGTTATGGGTTTAGTTTCACAACATTACGAGTTCATCCAGGCTTCTTGAATCATTTATAGGGGTTTTCATCTTGACTCTCCAACTCTCACACACTTTCTCTGCTGTGAATTTTTTTCAACAAAGCTCCAAGTACAAAATGGTCTACACATGTAAAATAAAGCCTGTTTTTTTTTTTAGCTTTTAACTTTAAGAAATTAAAAATTTAAAAAATTGCCTAAAAATTGCTTTTTCTTGGGAAATTAAACATCACGTTGCAGGTCATAGGAGAAAATACCTTCCTATCCAATGATCTCAAAGCACCTCTGGTGGAGAGATATAACAAGGTAAAGAACGTTTATTTATTTTTAAATACTGTTTACTTCTCGGGGGAAATACTATTTAATGGAAAATATGAGACCAGTAAGAAATACGAGTCTGAGGCTATTTCAGTTCTGCCAATGACTCAGTTTGACTTTGGGCAAATCGTTTTACCACTGTTGCTCTTTATCTGCAAAAACTGGACTTCATGCCTATGGGAGTTGCATGGCTAATCAATGCCTGGAAAATGCGTAGTGGCAGATGCTACAAAAGTGCTGAGCCTTAAAAACAAACCCACCCCCACCCCCATTTGTATTCAGTTGAGGTCGAGGTTTATTGTTATTTAACATTCGAAGGCCAACACTATGTGAAGTCCAGCGTGCTGTACAGGACAGATAATATCACTGTCCAGTAGGGATATTCTTTTTCAAATCTAGAATTTTGGACTCCCTCCCCTTTATTGTGGTTTGGGATTATTTTAGAATCCAGTAGTATAGCTACACAAAAACATTAAGCTTTAAGTTGAAAACTATCGATTAAAACATCTAAATAAACCCCCTCCAAAAAAAAATTAAAAAGGCCCTCCCCGCCCCGCCAAGAAACCTCTCAAAACAAGAATTCTTCTGATGTTTTTTTCCCCTTCCTGCAGTTCTCCATGTTACAGTCCTTGGAGGTAGAACAGGCATAAAATACTTTCACTAATAAAATATGACAAACCGCCGGATTATACGTGGCCGATTCCCAGCGATTGCCCTGCTACACAAAGCAGAAAAGTAAATGCCATCATCCCCCTTAGAACAAAAGAACTTAGGAATAAAAAACATGGAGAGGGGGGAGAAAGCAGCAATAAATAAAGGTGAGCGAAGGACCCCGTCCCCCGCCCCTCCCCAAAGCGAATGTGGGACTAAGTACGGCTAATAAAGTGGTTCAAGGGTAGTTATTTGGAAAGGGGGCGGGGTGGCGAGGGGGAAGGAGCGGGCGAGCGGCGGCCGGGGATTGCATGTTGCATTCGACTTGAGGTTGCATCTTTCTCCTGTTGCCTGGACCACGCTCCCCCATTGCAGTGCTTCCCCGTTGCTTCTCGTCGCTCCGGCTCTCGCGGCTTTTTTCTCCCACCCTCAAAACTGCTGTTGCACTGGAGGGAGTTGGGGCCGCTCCGGAGCCCCTTTGCAGCTCCTGCCGGCGGGAGGGGGAGTTGGTCTCTGGCCGCGGAGTTGGGGGGGCTGCAGCCGACTCCAGCCTCGCCTCGGCTGCAGCTACACAAGAGCCGAGCTGCAGCGCTGCACCGGCCCATCATTGCGGCGGCAGCGGAGTTTGGCCGCCGCTGCTCCGTGCTCAGCCCCATCACCGCCGCCGCCACTGCACTGGAGTTTGGCTGCTGCTGCCCTACTTCACTCTAGTTTAGTTTCACTCACTTTACATCCGGGTTTTTTCCCTAGGCAATGGGGGCCGCAGCACACCCCGTTCCTTAGGCAAAGTGAAATAAATTCGCCGCACCGACACGTCAAGTAGTCCGCCCGCCCGAGCGCTGCCGCGGGCCCCCGCTGCCCCCCCACGCCGCCGCCCCGTCGCCCCCGGGGGGGCCCGTGCATCCAGGGAGCCGCGGGCGAAGGCGCGGGGGCCCGGACCGGCCGCCGTACAACTCCGCCCGGCTGCCCCCTCCCTCCCCGCCGTGCCCCTTTACCCCAGTGCCTCCTCTACCCCCGCCCTCGTCCCCGCTTTCCCAGCCCCAGTCCCTCTTGCCCAGCTCTCGGGAGCGGCGGGGGCGCGCACGGCGGCGGCGGCGGCGGGCCGGCGGGGCCGCGCGGCGGGCTCCCGCGCGGGCGAGTGTGTCTGGGCCTGGGCGGAGGGATCCCCGGGCTGAGGCGGCGGAGGTGCTGCGGCCCGGGGCCGGGTGGTGAATGGGCTGGTGGTGCTCGCTGCTGCTGCTGAGAGGAGGAGGAGGAGGAGGATGAAGAGTTGGGCTTGTTTGTCTCCCACAGTTTCTCTCCTGCTGCTCTGATTTCCCCCCTCCTATTCCGGCCCAGGGCCTGTGTGTGTCCCTCCTGGAGGAGGAGGAGGATCCAGTTCCTCCCCCCCACCCCCTCCTCCCCACCCCCCCTTTGCCTGGGGAAGAGGAGGAAAGAAACAGCCCAGAGAGAGAGAGAGAGAGAGACAGAGAGAGTGAGTGAGAGAGAGCGAGAGGAGGAGGAGGAGGGAGAAGGGAACAACCTACCATCTTAACACACTAATATCTAAAAAGTGCGAGAGGCCCAGAGCAGCAGCAGAAGCAGCAGCAGCAGCTCCAGCTTCTTCCCTCCCTCCCCATGAAGAAGAGTTCCCTCCTCCTCCTCCTCCTGCTTCTCCTGCTCAGAGTTCCTGCCTCCAGCTGCCAGGGGGGACTGCCAGCCAGCAGGAGGGTGCAGTATCCCAGCTTTTCCATTCTCTCTTCTCCTCACTCTCCTCTCTCTCTCTCTCTTTTTTTTCTTGAGTAGCTCTATTTCCCCTCCCTCCCCCTTCCCCCTCTCCCCTCCTTCCCCTCTCCCTCTCTCTGTCTTGTCTCTGGTATTTGTCTCTGGGAGGAACAGGGGCTGCTTGCCTGGAGTTTGTTGTGGGGGGAGGGGAGGGGTGTGTGGGAGGGAGGAGGAAAAGGGGGGTGTTCTCGCCAGGACCCCGCAGTCAACTTGAGATTTGAGCAATAACTTCCCCTTCGGGGCGCCCCCCTGCGTGCCCTTCCTATTCCTCCCCCCCTAAAAAAAAGACAATGGGAAAACCTTGTCTCCCCCCCTTCTTCCCCTCTGCCCTCCACCCCTCCCCAGGATAAATTGGAAGTAAGTTTATGAGCAGCCTCGGGAGCCTGGGCGCTAAGTGCAGGGCCGGAGCGGGTGACAGAGGCGGCGCGCCGGGGGTGGCGGGGAGGGGGCGTCACATTGTCCCAGTTGGGGGCCGGGGAGGGGGCCACCGGCGGGGGCGGGGGGCGCGGAGCCTTGTCCGCCCCCTTCGGCAGTCCCTCCGCCCAGGGATGGTCGCCTTGGCTCTCTCATCACCCTCCCCCTCCCTGGGATGCTGTCGGGGGGAAGTTTTTATTATGATTATTTATTTAATTTTTTTTTTTTTGGAAAACCATCTTGTTTGGTGACTGAGGGATCTGGTTATAAAAAAAAAAAAAAAAAGCTGCGGCTGCTGACGCTGCCGGGCCCGAATGTGTGTGTGTGTTGGTGCATTTGTCTTGGGTAGCCGGAGAAGCGTTGGGGAAATTCCGCTTATTCTTCTTCTTCTGCAACTTGTTATTCCGGAGAGTCAGCCTGCACCCCTCACCCCGGGGCCGGCCCTCCCGCACTCGCCCCCGCCGCCCGCGGCCGCGGGGCGCCCCCGGGACCCCGCGCGGGCCAAGGTTGGCAGGCCGCTCAGAGAGGGGCCGCGGCCGCCCCTCCCCCGCCCGCGCCCCCGCCGGGGGGGAGGGGCGCGCGGAGTGGGACTCTTTCCGTTTGGTCCAGCCCCGTCGTGCACGCAGTTCCCAACACTTCTCGTCATCCTGTCTTTGGTCTCTTTATTCTGCTGAGCGGTGCTGTTAGGATTTCTTTTTTTTTCCCCCTGACCACGTTCGCTATGGTGGGTAGCAGCAAGGTGGCACTGTTAGGGGAGGGGTTGGTATCTAGATTTGGGCACCGGGGGAAGAATGTCTCCTTTCAACTTTGTCTGGCTTGCACCCCCAGAGAAGGCCACACGCCGGTTGTGGGGTGCAGATGTGCCGAGAGTGATTTCTAAGTAGTTGAGTTGTTGAAATGAGGATACGGCTGCTAATGGTAGGCAGGTTTTGTTTTCATTGGTGAATCTAGTGTCATCATATTCTGGTCATATGTTGAAATATTCTTTGTTTAGGTCTTGAAGTAGGGAATCTCACTCTGCACGTCCACATTGTGTTGTTTTTAAATGTCTCTGCATGTATGCCTTTCTAGAATATCAAACGTGAGTTAAGGTCCGGGCCTGTGTGGGCCTCGGCACTGGCCTTGACAGTGAACTTTGTGGCTGTGTTTTGGATTTCAAAGATTTGCCCTATAGTGGGGGAGCGAGCTGTTCATTTTTGTTAATAGTGTTAGGAATATAGATGCTTTAGCTGGGGACTTTAGAGAAGGAAGAACATTTATATATTAATAATTGATAGCTGAATATTAGAATCAGATTAATTTGGGCTGATGAAAGTTTTTTTTTTTTTTTTAAAGCAGTGTGCACTCTAGGAAGGAAGCGTTTTCATAGGCATACTTTATAGGGGTTCTTTAGGGCAGGGAGCTGAAATATCTCCTTTTATAGAGGATACTCATCAACATCTGTTGTTTCATTGAGGGCCTGGTAAAGGGATTGAAATTGGGGCTAAGACATCTAAGTGTACTTTTCAGTGTTTTATGTTGTTTGTTTACATTTGGTGTTTACTCATGTTTGGTCAGTAGAAATAAATAGGTCAGCTTTTCTTTTGGTTTTGAAGACTAGCCCCTCCCCCTCTTTGTAAGTTTCACAATCTACTTGGTTCCACGGTATTGTAGGAGACTTACTCCATTTTTACTGGAAATACTATTATGCATTTTGATTTTGGTAAGTTCCTGCCTGTTCCCTTTTCCTGGCTCCACTTGTATATGGATCTGCATCATGGACTTAAAGTGAGCTGTAGGTGCTATTTAAAATGTCTGAAGAATGTATTTTAAAATCCCAGGACATACCTTTTGATGGCAAAGAGTACATTTTTGTGTATACCCAATGTTTATAAAAATATTTTTGTATTGAAAACTTATGTAGATGTACAACTATCTCTGTTTATAAAAAATTTCTGTACTTAAAACTTCTGTAGATGTACAGCTACCTTTAAGTGAAGAGCATGGTAATAGTGCAGCAAATTCTCAAAACGCAAACTTCCGGCTAACATGTTACAAATATTTGAGGTGCTCTTCTTTATGTCAGACGTTTGCTTTGGTTAACATAATAGTATTTGCAGTATGACTGGCATTGTTTGGCTGGCCGTAATCGTCTTTTGCTTGAGTGCTTTCGATGACTTTTTAACACTTTTTAGATAATTTTACAAGCTTTCTTTAAGCATTTTGCACTTTGGACTCAGGCAGGTCTTTATGGAACTGGAATAGTAATAGGTTAAAATGACTCCTACCTATGCCAAATTTTATTTTTAAGAGGTGTAAGTGATGGACGGGGCCCTATTTCTTTTAGCTTTGAAGGGTCCACCCTTTTTCCCATTCAATCATCTGGAAGGAGCTGCCTCAGAAATATTCTTCTTCTGCTTACATGAAGAGCTCTAAATGCTATCCAGCAGGAGGTGCTACAGCAAGATAAAGCAAATCTCTGAATTTTGAGGGTCTTGCTACTTACGACAGCTCCACTTAGCTTCAACTAAGCAACAGGATTAACACCCTAAAGTTCCAGAAAGATTTTGAGTAAGTCCATTTAAAAATTCCATTAATAAATTACACTCGCTATTTAAACCTGAAATCTTTGATGGCTTTTTACCTGCTTACCATATTACACAAAGTAGATTTGTTACTGTGGATACCTTAAGAATGCTATGCATAGTTACAGAGTGCTGTTAGAATTATTTTATTGTGGAGTTATTTTATTTTGGAGTTATGTGCAATGGGTATACCCAAAAGTAGTTCGTATGACTTGGGACATTTTGTAATCATCCCCATAATGTTAATACAAATAGGATTTAGAGTACTTGAGATTTTGGAAAGGGAGATATTGTGTGAAGAAAATTTTATACTTTTTTGTGTTTATTTTTTTCTTGGACAACTATCTTAATAGATAAATTCTTAGGCTCTCAGCTTTATAAATATACATATGGTTGATGTATTTGAATTGGCCTCCAAAAGCTGAAACTCTCGAATTATAAGTAAAGTTATATTTGTGGGCATAGATCATTGCTTTACTGATGATATGTCCACTAGTGGTAATAACTCCATAAAGATAAAAGAAGTTTCATAGCATTTATAGTCCATGGTTGTTTGAAACTCTTGTTAGTGTTAGGTGCATTGATTTATCACTGGAAATATCATGCTACTTGGTGGCTCGTAAAGTTTTATATTAAAGTTTAAAAACTTAGGAATGTATAGAAAATTTGATAAACCTGCTTTGAATTTTGCCTGTTTTCTAGACATAACACAGATCTAGACAGATCTTTTTTCTCAATAAGATCAAATGAGATAATACATGTGCAGGTCCTTTGTAAATTGTCAGGAGCCAACAGATGTTAAGTTGTTGATATAGGTAACTAATTAATATATGGACAGAAACTTCTCTCTTTCAAATGTTAACTTTCTCCATCAGTTGGGGAATGAGTGCATTAAAAGTGCACCTCGAACACCTTAAGATTTTTTTTCAGTACTGCTGTGGTTACCAAAAAGCTCTTTGTTATAGTTTTGAAGCTTTGTTTAAAAAATGCTGCCTAGGCAGTTTCTCACAATTCAAGAAAAAGATTATTTTCCTTTTGTAGATCTTGTGAAATGTGTATCTCCTATTAAAGTTTTTCTTCGTTTCATTGACGTGACAGTAGTTGATTTTAGTGAATATTTAAATTCTCAATTCTTCTGTAGACTCTCATTAACACACAGAGTAACAGATGTCACAGTTAAGGTTTTGGTTGTTTTGATTGATTCTGCTAACTTTGTGAAAAATTCTCACTAAATCTTTCAGACTTGTTTTAAAGTGAAAAAAGTATATACTTGTATACATTAGTATTAGGTACATGTGTATATCTTTATTTTTCTGTTTTAGAGGAGTGCATGAGGAAATGACAACTCAAATCTAGAGGGGTACACTGAAATATTTTTGTTTAAAAATAACTCAGAAGTTTAACGCTCAGAGGCTTGAGCTGTGGCTTTCTTAATAGACTGTTCACAAATTTTGACTGAAATAAAATAAAATATAGATAATTGGGAGTCCCTATGTTTATGAGCATATCTTAAATTTTAGAAGTGACTGTTCTTTATGAAATAACCCCCAATTAGTAATTAAATATACAAACTCGCTTCTGTGAAGAATGACAGAAACATTTAACTGTTTAGATAAAACTGAAACCTCTTAGGGTAATGCTAACTTTTCATCGCGCAGACAGTGAATACTAAAGCTTTTCTTGAGGAAATACTGAAGTTAAGGTTATATTAATGTGCTTTTAAATTTTGTATCCTTAGTATCTTATTGCTGAAGGCTTTTGTATTTAATTACTATTCAAAGGGAGAAAAGGAAGAGATTAAAGTTTTAGGTCTCTAACCTTTGACAGAATTCCTTCATATCTATATTCAGAGCTGATTTCTTGAAACATGTTTGAATCTTCATATTAATATGTGCTGGGAAATATTAATGATTTATGTTAACTTCTCAAGAACTTTTGTACGTGGGCTTTTTTGTAGGCTCTACGTATTCCTAGGGAATGTAGCAATATATTCTGATCCCTTTTAACTTACCAGGAGTGTATTTTTGCTGCTTTAAGGTTTTTTTAAGAGGTAATTTGTTAAAACTTGCATTAAATTCATTATAGACAGTTATTTCTTAAATGGCATATGCTTTCTTCTTTGTGTTTGGGTGTATATGTGGCTGTATTGCTTTATAGGCTTTCATGTAATTCTTACTTGCATATTAAGTTTTTGAGCAGTTATCTTTTGTAAGAATGTTGAAATAGACTTTTAAAAATAACTTTTATATTACCTGTCTATCAGTTCAGTCTTAACACTGGAGTGGTTGTAAACTCTTCCCCTTTAGAGATAATATGTGAGATTCCGTCATCCTTTGGGCTTTTCTGAAGCAACTCTCTTACACTAGACATTTGTTTGGAAGTTTGAATTACCCCTCCATTGCTCTCTCCCTCCAATACACTGCAGCCACCCCCCCCAAAAAAAAAGGATAGTGAGCAGGTCTCATTGAAGGAAACTTTTCCCCCTATATTTTGGAATCATCTATGAAGTGTTCTGCTTTTTTTTTTAAAGTGGACAAAAAAGTGAACTGGTAATGTAGAGATGGGAGGCAATGGGGCCTAACAGGTTGTTGATCTAGGCTTTATTTTGACTCTGGTTGTGGGCCTAGGGGAGAAAAATAACTTAAACACAGAAGCCAGAAAGATGGGTTTTGTTTTATTGTTTTGGCTGCATTGAGAATACAAACTGTCAGTACTTGAGGAGAAGGAACAGCAGAAAGGAATTGATTTTTTTCTGCTGCAGATCCAAGTATTGTTAACCATGTGCATCTCTAAGGCAGCATACTTACAAATCAGGCAGTAGTTGAATTTTTCACTCAATTAACAGTCAGAACCCTAAACTGGTTTTTAAAAAATTTTAAATAAGTACCCCAAACTTCAGAGTAACGACAATAATTTCTTGATAAAAGTGGGTGATAGTAACCATGGCAACTGCTATCTCTGGTCTTATGGACAGTATGTTGTATTGATGAAGCTTCAGATCCTGTTGTAGCCTGTCACTTTTATGGTGAAATGTAGTAGCATGTGTTGCAGGTGATTTTTAGCTGGATTGTGTTGAATTTGTTTGCCAGCTTATCTTTTCTTGTTAAAAATTTCTTGGACTGTGTTCCACAGCATGTTTGTGAAGGTGCTGTTGCCTGAAAATAACCCACCACCTGTGTTAGGCCTCCTGATGCAGATTGCACTGAGTTCTTTCCCTGCCCCCTCCTTCAGTCTTGCAGAAAATAGGGGTGAGTGTAGAATCCATATCCACATAGATGGCAGCTTTAATTACCTGCTTGCATTTGGACATGTGATCGATAGCTTTTTAAAAATCTTTGTTTTTAAAAGATGTTCGTGGATGAGAGAAATGGGTCTATGGTTGGAATATTTTTTTCTAAGTGTTCTTTCCAGAAACAGGTGTGTGTGTGTGTGTGTGTGTGTGTGTGTGTGTGTGTTAAGTATGTGTGTGTAATGAAGGGTGGAAGTGGAGGGATTAAATTTTGAGTAAGAACTTAACAAAAGAGGAACTTAGAGTTTCTTTCGGTGTGTGAGGTAGTGTTTTGGACATGTATTACTATAGGAATCTCTTTCCTAGTGGGTGGTATTAAAGTATGGGAAACGTTTTCTTATAAGAATTGTCTTTAAGAAAAATCATTTATAAAACATAACTTGAAAGACTGTTAAGAGAAAACTCAGTAAAATAAAATCTTTCATTTTGGGAGTAGGATAGAGAACTTTGAAACAGGTTCAGGTAAACTTTAAGGAGATTGTTTCAAAAATTATGTTTTTAAATATAATTTTGAAATTCAAACTTTTTGCTTTTTTAAGTATTTATTTTTTAAGCATTTCTTTGATATGCTTGTCCTATATATGGTTTTTCTAATGTGAAAATATTGAGCTAAATTTAAATTGATACTTTTTTCATTATGTGCTAAAGAAATTGTGCCAGAGCAGAACACAAATGAATTAGATCTGAATTTGACTAACCCTGATAATAAGACTTAGTCAAATTGTGCTGGATGGTTCAGACTTTGTGGAAACTTAACTGTGTAGAGTGAAGAAGTGGTTTCCTTAACTACAAGCCCCAGAGTGCACTGCGGGTTTGGGTGTTTTTTATTTTTTTTTTCTGCTTAACTCCAGAATAGAGCATTGCATGCTGGGTCCTGTAGTTGATTTAAACAGCACAGGGAATCCTTCCCTCTTGTCTACTCCATTTTATACACATCTTCCCAAGCCTCTAGCAACTTTCTGCTAAGTAAAGTTTGCTTGCTAATATCATGATTATGCTGCTGACATTCTAAAGTGAGTCTTCAGAAACATCCTAGTGTTTTAGTTTACCTTAGATTAGTTTGTTGTTTTTTATCAGCTACTGTAAGATTTATATGTAAAATAACAGATATATATGTGTATATATATGTCTGTGTATATATATTGAAAACTTAGTAATTGTAATTTTTTTTGTCTGTGATGATACAGATCTCTATAATAACAGCATTACTGATTGATAGTATAGGCCTCTGGAGCCTATAATTATTGTAGGGCCTGATGTGTATATGCTGTTCTCTTTTCTTTGAATGGGGACGGTTATTCAGTAAAGTTGGATAGAAGGGGTTTTTTTGTGTGTGCCAGTATTTAAGTTTAGAGGGTTTTTTTTTTGAGTCTTCTGTAATAATTGTCAACATCTCAAATCACAGTATTCTTGAAATGAAAGACAGATTTCCAAAAATAAATGTGGTTTTAGTGTAAATTTAATACTTAAAATATAGTCTGAAAGGTAGAGAAAAAGATAAGGTTTCTTTAATAGTTTGCTTGTATTATCATTTAAAAAATTTAAATTTCTGTTCTTCCGAGGGCTCTAATACTTTGTTAATTATTATCAGATTGTTGTTGCAGGGATTGAATGTTAAAAATCTGTGAGAGTGTTTAGCACAGTGCCTGGCACCTAACAAAGGCTCAGTAAATGTTTAGAATTAGCAGCAGCAGCAG